AGCCCTGGAGTGTACCACAGTCTCCTCAGCTGTAAAGTGGGGACCAGAACCCCTACTTCACAGAGAAGTGGGCGGCGGAGCACCGCGCCCTGTCCGCACAGTACCGTTATCCGCATCTTACAGATGGGAAAGCCACGGCGGGAATAACGACTTCCCCCAGTCACCCAGCTCAGAACCCGCAGAGTCAAACCTTCAGCCGGTTCTGAACGAGGCTGAAGTCCGGGCCTCCAACACCAGCCTCCCTCACCTCGCTGGGAGATCTGGGACGCGAAAACGCTTTCAGAAACACTGTCTACTCCGAGTTCGGCCCCGAGCCAGCCGCTGTCAGGGGTACTCCCGAGTCTCAGACCCCATCCCAGCCCTGCTTGTCCCGGCCTGGAACAAGCGCCAGGCCCCTCGCGCCCCCAGCAGGAGGTGCGGCTGGGGTGGCCGTGGCCTGCTAACCAGAGGCCTGGCTTCCAGACCTGGCTCTACCATGAACTCTGTGAGTGCGGGCAAGCGCCTTTGCCTCCTCGAGCCTGCTCCCCACCTGAGAAGTCAGCAGCTGTGACATTCTAGAAGCATTTGCGGCAGGTACAGGTCCGCAGAAGAAGGGCTGGGTGGTTGCCATGTGCCAAGTGTAAACGAGAGTCTGGGGGCCGTAGGAGGCCTCGGGGCATCCTGGACTGGAACAGCTAACCTGGACACAGCACCCCCGACTCTGCTTGGCAGCCTCCTGCCCGGACTGAGGGGTGCCTCGTGTGGGCCCCACTGTCCCCCTCACCCCAAGGTCCGTCAGATCCCCAGTGGACCCAGCCTGCAGGAGCCGGACAGGCTGCAGATGAAATCACAGCTGGAGGGGGCCAGGCTGGGGCTGCCACTGCAGGGTGGGGCCCGGGGTCATGACCCCAGGAGCAGGCAGCCAAGAAGGGAGGCTGCCTTCCATGAGGGAGCTGGGGGAACACACACGCACACACACACACACACACACACAGCAGCACAGAGAGGGAGGAAAAAAACAAACCCAGGCTGGCCTGGAGTGCAGCCTGGGCGGTGATTCTGGGGGCCGCGGCGACGTTGAAGGCGGCTCACGGACTCGCAGCTCCGAGACCCTGCCCGGTCTTCCCCCCACAGCCCAGTGTGGGTGGTATCCGGACATGGACAGGCGGGGGAGACGGGGCCTGGGGTGCCAGGGGGCCCAGAGCACCCGGGGAGCACAGACCAAGTCAGGTACCGTGAGAGGGAAACTGAGGCACAGCAGGGGGCTGGTCAGGGCTGGGATTAGGTGGCCCTAACATGAGTGTCTCCTAGACCTTGTCCCCACTTCCTGTTTCCTGAGGGGTGGGACTGAGGTTACATGGCAGCTGCGGATGGGGTCTGGGAGCAGAGGGTCGTGCAAGGTAAAGCCCTGGAAATGCACGTGGGGCTGAGGTGGATGGGGCAGGGGTCCCCAGAACAAGTGCACCTAGTGAGGGACTCAGGTGTGCAGGAGGCTGAGAGATGGGGCCCTCACTGGATGGACTTGGGGCCCAGGTCGGGAGAGCCAGGCTGTCCCTGAAAGGCCTGGGAGATGTGGGGATGGGCTGCAGGCAGACCCAGAGTTCTCACACTGAGTGGTTGGACCCTCATGCAGGAAGATGCTGGGGAAGGGGTGGGGCGAGGAGGAAAGTGGGGTATCCTGGGATGTGGGGCTGCCTGACCAAGCCAGGGTAGGTGGGCCTCCTCCCAGAGCAGGTGTATGGGAGCAGTAAGTGCTGGGGGGGGGGAGAGCCCCCAAGGATGGGACAAGGTGTTAGGGGACAGGGAGGAGGAAGGTGAAGGAGGGGGAGCCAGCGCGGGCTCCCCCAGGCCCTCCCTGCCAGGAAGCACCAGCTGGTAGGCAGTTTTATCCCTCCACCTCCAAGGTCCTGCAGGGACAGCACGGGAGAGTGAAGCGAGAACCTGGCCAGGCAGGGCGTGTGCGGAGGGGATGGCAGCAGGCACGAGGGCTGGTCCTGGCACGACGAGGGAGGAGCGCGTGGCTGGGCAGGTCCGGGATGTGGCAAGAGGCAGGAGTTGGGGGCGTGGAGGACGGGGGGAGGAGGCGGGCACGGGGAAGGGGCCAGAGTGAGGTTGGTCCCTGGCCTTGGAAAACCTACTCTCCCACCTTGATCTTGGGCCAGGGTCAGGCAGGAGGGTGGAGTCCCTAGGGCAATGAGACTTCTCTTGGGACAGAGGACGCACCCAGCTGCTCTCCAGACAGCGAGGCCTCGGGTGTACGGGTGTACGGCGTGTGGTCTGGTCAGCACTGCTCCGCTTCATTCATTTCAAAAACGTTTTTCCTTGCCTTTCATTGAGAAAAGCCATTGCTCATTTCGCCCTGGTCCCCACTGTTCCCTCTTGTCCCTCCTCACTCATTCATGAATCTGCTTGGCTGTAGCAGACAGCAGAACTTGTGACTCTGCCTTGGAGACTTGAGGGCCACCATCATTCTTTGGGGTGAGCCCCTAGGGGCTTCCAAGCCAGGTCTGGGAGGAGCCCGTCACTCCTCAGTTGCACACTGTCTTCAGCATCCTGAAAAGGAAACCCGGGTTCGATGTGGCTTCCTTAACCTCTGCCTCAGTCACCCCTTTTGGAATGGGAATGCAGGACACCCTTCTCGGATTGTCCCCAAAGAACTGAGGCACAGCCACTCCCACCCCTATGTCTTCTGGGCCCCTTCCCAGCCTCGCGGGTACTGGTGGTCTGCAGAGCAGGTATGATGGTGGTCAAGGGGCTTGACCCTGGACAGGGCGCCCCCCCGGAGCCCCTTCTGCCCAGAGGCAATGGGCCGGCTGCAGGAGGCACCTTGGAGGTGGCTTCCAGCACCCATGTTCAGTTCCACTTTATTGCGGTCTAAAGTCCAAGCTGGGACCCAGCCCCTTTTCCTGGAACCACTTTCTCAGTCCAGCCCCAGCCTGCCTCCTCCCCGGCCCCCCAAACCCCCGGACCAGGGGGCCACAGGTGTCAGCTCCATCTGCTTTTCCAGTCTTTGGCCACTTCCCCAAACCCAGGTGAGTCAGGGCCGTCTGGGGCACCCCCTGCCTGGGGACCTCACTGACTGGGCCTGGGGGCCCCCTCCCCACTAACCCCATCTTCAAACGACTCCCAGGGCAAGCCGCTCAGGAAAACCACAGGGCGTTTTTTGAAGACTTCATTATAATTTTATCAAATTCTTAGAAGAGGGAAAAAGCCTGCTCTCCCCACCCTCCCCCCACTCGTCCCCCCCACACACACTCTCA